GAACAAGCAGGTGAAGCCTCTGTTCCGGCATTTCCGACGCATCGACTCCTGCCTGCAGACCCGGGTGGCATTTCGGGGTTCTGACGAGAGTGAGTGACTGTGGGGGGAGCTGAGGGAGACTGGGGTCCCCTCCATGACCCACCGGCCGCTCTACGGGGCCGTGCCCTCTGCGGGTCTGCTCAGGGCCCGCTCAGTGCCTCAGTTTCCCCGGTGGGCAGTGCCCGGGGTGGTGTGGGGGTGCCCGGCGCTGACCCCCCGCCCTCTCCCCAGTTTTCTGCCGCGTGTACATGCCCGACCACTCGTACGTCACCATCCGCAGCCGCCTCTCGGCCTCGGTGCAGGACATCCTGGCCTCGGTCACCGAGAAGCTCCAGTACTCGGAGGAGCAGAGCGCCCGCGGGGACGCCCTCATCCTCGTCACCATGGCCTCGTCCGGAGGTGCCCGGGGGGCCGGGGGGGGCTGCGAGCGGGGGCTGGGGGGGTCCGGCCGGTGCTGACCCCACCCTGTGCCCCGCGGCAGAGAAAGCGGTGCTGCAGCCCAGCGAGGAGTGCGTGTTCACCACCCTGGGCATCAACAGCCACCTCTTCGCCTGCACCAGGGACACTTTCGACTCCCTGGTGAGCCCCGTGGTGGGGACACCCCGGCGGGGACCCCCCCATGGCCCGCCCGGCCCTGGCACCGCCATCGCTCCCTGCGCAGAACGGGGGGGACCGGGGAGGGGGTGGCACCCCCTGAGCGCCCCGTCCGCTGTCCCCTCGCAGGTGCCGCTGCCCGAGGAGATCCAGGTGGTCCCGGGGGACACCGAGATCCACCGCGCCGAGCCCGAGGATGTCGCCAACCACCTCACAGCCTTCCACTGGGAGCTCTTCCGCTGCATCCACGAGGTTTGGGGGGACCCGGGGGTGGGGGGATCGCGGGATTCGCCCCTCTCTGGAAGGCGGGAGGGGGGCTCTGATGGAATGTGTGTGTCCCCCCCCCCCCCCCAGCTGGAATTCGTGGATTACGTGTTCCACGGGGAGCGGGGCCGGCGGGAGACGGCGAACCTGGAGCTGCTGCTGCAGCGCTGCAGCGAGGTGCAGCACTGGGTGGGCACGGAGCTGCTGCTCTGCGAGGGGCTGGGCAAGCGAGCCCACCTGCTCAAGAAGCTCATCAAGATCGCTGCTATGTGAGTGGGGGGGACCACGGGGGGCTGCGGGGAGGGTCCCTGCGGTGCCCAGCCCGCCCCTCACGCTGTCCCCCACCAGCTGTAAGCAGAACCAGGACATGCTCTCCTTCTACGCCATCGTCATCGGCCTCAACAACGCCGCCGTCAGCCGCCTGCGCCTCACCTGGGAGGTGAGGGCTGGGGTGCCCCTGACCCCCACAGTGCTCCCAGATCTTCCTGTGCCTTTCTGAATGTCCCCAGGTGCTCCCTGACCCTTTTCTGGGTGATCCCAGTCCGCTCCTAGGTGCTACCTGTTCCCTCCGGGAGCTCCCACCCCTCGCTCCAGGCTCCCCAGGACTCTCTGGATGCTCCCAGACCACCCCTGGCTGCTCCCTGACAGCCCCTGGGTGCTCCCAGGACCCTTGGGATGCTTGTGCCCACACCTGGCTGCTCCTAGATCTCTCCTGGGTTATTTCAGATGCCTCTTGTGTGTTCTTGGAACCCCCCAGGAACTCCCTTCCCCTTCAGTACTCCCAGAACTTCTCTGGGTGCTCCTGCACTGCCCTTGGGCACTCCCACCCCACTCTCCAGTGCTCCCAGGATTCTCTGGATGTTCTCAGTCCACCCCTGGCTGCTCCCTGACACTGCTCAAGTGCATCTAGGACCCTTGGGATGCTCATGCCCGCACTGGCTGCTCCCAGACCTCTCCTGGATTCTTCCTGATCCCACTTTGAGCGCTCTTGGAACCCTCCAGGAGCTCTCATCCCCACCTCAGTGCTTCCAGGAATCCTCTGGATGCTCCCAGACTACCCCTGATGCTTCCAGACCTTCCTGGGCCTTTCTGGACACCCTCAGATGTTCCCTGACCCTTTCCTGGGCTCTCCCAGAACCTCCTGGATGCTCCTGCCGCCCTCTTTGGTGCTCCCTGACCCTGCCGGATGCTACCTATCCTCTCCCCGTTCTTGTCTTCCAGAAGCTCCCAGGGAAATTCAAGAATCTGTTTCGGAAGTTTGAGAACCTGACGGTGGGTGAGGGGTGTGGGGGCTGCTCTGGGTCTTGGGGGGTCCCCAGGACTCCCCTGGGGGAGTTTGGGGTGCTGGTGAGCAGGGGACATTCCCGAGGTGTCCCAAGGTGGCCTGGGGTGTCCTTGCCCCTCTCCAGCAGGCCACCAGCCCCACACCCAGGGCCACCAGGATGGGGGGGGATCCAGGGTGCCCCCCTCAAAGCCTGACCCCCCAGTTCCCCCCCAGGACCCCTGCAGGAACCACAAGACCTACCGGGAGGTGCTGGCCAAGATGAAGCCCCCACTCATCCCCTTTGTGCCACTCATCCTCAAAGGTGAGGGGGGGTCTCAGGGGCTTCCCCTTGGTGGGTTGGGGTCCCTCTGACACCCCATGGGACCCCCCATCACCCCCTCTCTGCCCCAGATCTGACCTTCCTGCATGAAGGCAGCAAGACCCTCCTGGACGGGCTGGTCAATGTGGAGAAACTGGTGGGTTCTGTGGGGGGATGGGGCAGAGGGACCCCCAGGATGGGGGCAGGGGAGAGGGGACCCCCCTGAGGGGCTGGACGTGACCTCCTCCCCCGAGGCTTTGGGGCTCCCCTGTCTGGGGGGGTGGGAGGGTTCAGGGTGTTCTGGGTGCAAAACAGGATCCAGGGGGGGTCCCCGAGGGTGGGGGGTGTGCAGGAGGCTCCTGGAGGGGTCAGTGGTCCCAGGGGGGCTGGGGCTGACTCTGGGGTCTCTCTGTGCCCCAGCACTGCATCGCCGAGAAAGTGAGAACCGTGCGCAAGTACCGGAGCCGCCCCCTCTGTGAGTGGGGGGGATGGGGAGGGGGCACTGCTGGGGGGCCCCCACACAGCCCTGAACCTGCAGGGCTGGCCCTGAGGGGTGGGGATGTGGCCAGAGCATCCTCACACCTCTTTGCCAATGCCCCTCCATCCCTAAATCCCTGCATCCTCATCCATCCCTTCACTCTGCATCCCCGATTCCTGAGTTCCCATTCCTGCATGCCTGAATCCCTATCCCTTCATCCCTGTCCCCATCCCCATTCCCACATTTCCATTTCATCCCCATCTCTGTCCCTGCATCCCCATCCCTTCATCTGCATCCCCTGCACCTCTTCCATTCTTCAATGCCCATTTCCTTCCTGCATCCCCTCCATCCCCTCCATCCCCACATCCCCTGCATCCCC